GGATTCCCATGTGGGACATGGGGCCAAGTTTTGGGTGTTGGGTATGAGTATACCATGGGCCTTCAATTTGGCAGACTTTGAGTTGGTAATGGGTGGTGGGATACATGACATGTGGACTGTCATGTCATGTGTTCTTTGGTCAGTTTCTTGGCATATTCCTTAATAAAATATAATTGAAATTTTTTTCTTTTTTATGAAAAAAGGAGCAAGATGCAAGAACCTTGCTGACATTCTAAGTAAAAATTTTAAACTACAATTGAGCAAGTTTTGTTTCTAATTAATGTGCATGTTCTGGGATCCAAAGTTTGATGTTGCTATCATTTTGACCTGATTTATTTGGTAATAGAATTACAAGATAATCATCTTCTTATGCATTAGTCAACAACAAATTAGTAGTACAAACATAAGGGTATTAAAAAATTTATTTTTCTTATACAAATGTTATTAAGTGGGGAAAATCTCGCAACCTATTAGGTTTGAGGTTGCTTGTTGTCTTAATTTAATAATTTTGTAATGTGAGTATTTTTATTTAAAGAAAATCTCTTTAAATATTATTAATTAATTTTATATTATGACTATTTCAATTTTTATTGTTAGAATGCCAGTACAATATGCATGTAACTTTAATTTCATCTTCATTTGGATTTTTTTTTTTTTTTGGTGGGGGTGGGTGGGTTATATTTGGAACAAGAAAATAATTGAAAATAACATGTTCAAACATTGTATGTAACACTTTTGATGAATAGAGTTGAAAACTAATCGTTTTAGTCCATGCAATGAATGTGGTTGGTTCATTACAAACTTAATAATGCAATTGCACATTACGGTGCATAATCATGAAACGTTGCCCATTTTCGTCCTCCCGTGAGCTGAGTCCCACCCTGTTCCCTTTTCTCCATACCCTTATAGATCAGTGTCCATTTCAACAACACCCGTGCACATTAAAAACCTGTCCCATTTTCCTTTTCTCCCATAAATATCGAATGATACTCAATCAGACATTGGTTTCATCACTGACGGTGGAAAAATGGGTTCTATCCTGTAAAATTTTACATTTGATTTTTTTTTTTTCATTTTGGTACGGCTATGTAATAATTGAAACATTTTTTTTACCAGTTAAAGTAACCAAAACTTATTAAGAGAGGACAAAAGATACGTTCATCTTACTATAAGAAATAATTAAATTGAGACCATATATAGTAGGGTTTGTTGCAACCGTTCTCATTTACTTCAAAAAACCATATACCAAACTCTCTAAATCGAATGTTTTAATTAAGCTGTTTCCCTATCTTTAGCGTTGCCTGGATCGATCATATTGTTTGGTCATTATTGCTCGGGCAAAGGGGCGGCAGATGGCAACATAACAAAATCTTCTAAATGTTAGCTAGAATTTGTAGTGTCAATCCAAGCTACCATACACGCTTATTAGATTTGCATTCTTGTTTTTGTGGAGTTTGGACATTTTCTTGATAAATCCAGGAAAATTCCCCCTACTTAGAAAGTGATATGCACATGGAATGAGTTGGGTTTAGATCTGTTTTCTGCAGATCTTGATAATCACACCAGAATTTTCCAACTTTGATATCAAATTAATCCTTGACTTGACTTCTCGGTACAGTTCCTGGTTGGCATTCACAAGTTGGCATAACTTTTGACTGTAGAATTTACAACTTGATTGTCATAATTGCCATCTTACCCTTGTCAATACTCACTAAACATTTTGATTGATATGATTTGCTAAATAAGAGACAATCATTGCTTACAATAAGTTATAAGATAACCTTAGAATTGAAAATACCAAAAATTGACCTAAACTTTTGTCGTTCTATATAATAACCTCAACCTCAATATATATATATGGCATGTGCAAACTAATACAAAATATATTAAACCCTAAAAAAAAAAAAGAAAAAGGAAAAGAGCAAAATTCACCAAACTCACAATTCTATGCAACCAAAACATGACCTGTTTTTATTGGAAATTTAACAATTTGATTAATAATTTGATTGCCAGGAATATTTTCTTGTTGTCACAAACACAAACACTGAGGCCTTTTAGCTAGGTCACCAGAAAGCTGGCCCCCCTTTACAGCAGAGGCGGTGCTGATTCAATTATTATTGACAATACACTTGCCATCCAATTCCATCCTACAAAAATACAGCAAAATTAAGGATTAGGGTCAGATTAGTGCTGACTTGTCCGAAAAGGAACCAATTACTTACTGAAAATTAAGCATTATACAAGAAAAAGCTAAGGGCACTTAGGATAGTGTCCTAAAGTCTTAGGATACCCCATGAGCAAAAACACTAAACAAAATGACAAACACAACTTTGAAGGGCGGTCCCAAACAGGCCAACCCACAAAGGAACCAAACCCAACTAATAAAAATTAAAAAGAAAGAGCCTCCAAAAAGAAGGGTTCTGCGTTTGGGACAAATAGGGCAGGTGCCAGATATTGAGAAGGGCACCTTTCCCTGCATTAAATCCGTGGGGATTTCCCTTCCCAAAGTTCTTAAGGACCACTTCAGGGCAGAAAAGGGGGGCCACTACCTTTTTCTTCTCCATTCCGTACCTCTCCTTCAGGTATCTGAAATTATTTTTGGAACAAAGACTTTGATCTTCTTTTCTTCTTGTGTTGTGTTGTGGTGGAAGATGTTTTCTTGGTGTTTTTCAGCATTAAGTTTTGAAAGCTATTTGGGGTTGGGGTTTTGATATTAATTGTTATAGATTGGGGAATGAATGGAGGAATTATGGGTGCTTTCTGAATTAATTGGTGCATGAACATTAATTCTTTGCAGACTTAATGAAGGAATTTTGCAAAGTTAAAGGAGATGTCACTGTTTTCAACTTTGTACAAATTTATTGTGCACAATAAATTTGATATCTGAATTTCCATTGAATAAAACCCATTTTTAGACCTTCCCGAGAAATGGTTTTTACCATATCACCACACATTGAATGGCTCTTAATTTAGAGGTCTAGAGTTGCACTAGTACTGGTCAAATATTGTGCTCAATGTTTTTAAATAGCTTAAGCTTCCATATGTTAGGACCAATTCAATGACTCTTCAATAGTAATTATATATTAAATGGTGATTGGTTCATCCAAAAAAAATATTAAATGGTGATTATATTTAAGAGAAGATAAAATTATTAAAAACGAAGTTGATTTATCTAGCATATTTGTAACAATACATAATCAACATACATTCATAAGATTGATTCACATTATTATTATAATCTAATATTGACAATAAATTGTCAATAAATCAGTGTTGTTTTTCATACTTGTTCTTTTTTTTTTTTGTGTTTTCAAAATAGACTAATTTGTAAATACTTTAAAAAAAAATCATGGGGAATTATGAGAGTATGAGAAATTTTTAAGTAGTTGATGAGAATTGAATTTTTGATTAATTTAACCAAAATACTTAAAATTTGGGTACAAACTATTAAATTTGAAAAACTGATTCAATTTGTTAACACCTTTATAAGAGGGAAATAGAGAAAAAAAAAATAAGGATTTGAATTTCAATTATATAAATAAAAAATTAATATAATTTGACTAATTATTCTATAAAATATTATTGGTTTTCACCTATAACTTTTTCTTGCCCTTTTTATGTCGGAAAAAATTTCAACAGAAATAATTAGCAGCGCTGGTTTGAGTTTGCATAAAGAAATAATTTGGGTCAAATATGGCGGGTTTTGGGTTCAATAATCCAATCCGCC